GTAGTCTCTGGCCATCTCTTGTAGCTTGCCCGTAGTCTCTGGCCATCTCTTGTAGCTTGCCCGTAGTCTCTGGCCATCTCTTGTAGCTTGCCCGTAGTCTCTGGCCATCTCTTGTAGCTTGCCCATAGTCTCTGGCCATCTCTTGTAGCTTGCCCATAGTCTCTGGCCATCTCTTGTAGTATGCCCATAGTCTCTGGCCATCTCTTGTAGTATGCCCATAGTCTCTGGCCATCTCTTGTAGTATGCCCATAGTCTCTGGCCATCTCTTGCAGCATGCCCGTAATCTCTGGCCATCTCTTGCAGCATGCCCGTAGTCTCTGACCATCTCTTGTAGCATGCCCGTAGTCTCTGACCATCTCTTGTAGCATGCCCGTAGTCTCTGGCCATCTCTTGCAGCATGCCCGTAGTCTCTGGCCATCTCTTGCAGCATGCCCGTAGTCTCTGGCCGGCTCTGGCCATTCACTGCTTTATAACTGTTCCCCCAAGGATCTTGTGATCCGGTTCTGGAAGCCGTTGTAACCTCCCGGCCGCTGTGCTGGGTCCACATTCAGAGCTACAGCTGGAGGTTCATAATATAAAACAATATCTGACTCTGAGATATTCAGTGATAACTTCCACCCACCAGCCAATCCCCAACCAGAATGCCGGTCATGTGACCTGATGCGTCACTCTGTTGTGTCAAGTGACGTTTATACCGCCTGGAGCACTGTTTATAAACGTGGCGTAACATTGTAACACTTTATGACCAGAACATTCCTCATAAATAAGAATAATGACAGGTCGCAATTTCAGAGGCGGGTCTTTGAAATATTTTGATTCAGACCCCACTAAGCCCCCATTTATACCATAGCGTCATGGGAACGCGTGTCGCGTATTCATGGGCGTTTGTTTTCTGCGTGTCCCAGTTGATTTCAGTGTGTCCCTGGATGCGCCAAATGCAGGAAAGTAATACAGGTCACAAATTTTGCAACATGTGTTCCTTGTTTTTTTCCCAAATCACAATTCTTTGCAAGGGACTGATGACATCACTGCGTCCCTTGTTTGTGATGTCACTAGCTCCTGCAAATTGAATGGCTGTCATCTGGCCAGCAGCTCGGCTGCCATTCAGTGTATGTATAGGACAGGTTCACTTTATGGATCGGTATGCCGACCATTGAATTAAAAAGAAGCCCCGTCTTGTGGGAGGTTAAAGGTCGTCTGTGAAAGGTGTGCAATCTGTAGGTCCCGGGCTGTGATTGGCTGGCAGGATGTGACATGGGGTTCATACACACTGCTGGGAGAGGAGAATGGCCCTATTCATCCCCGTTCAATGGAGGGAACGCCGCACATTAATAGAACACGTTTCCAGCCCCGGCTGGCTGTAATTGTACACTGTACATAACATAAAGGGCCCTTGTCTCGTGCCGGGGCCCCTTTATTCATAGAGAAGACAGGTAACCAGTGAGAGATCCGCAATACAAATACTGTTTGTTTCAGACTCTCAATGTTCTCTCAAAGGAAATCATTTTATTCAAATCATTCTGCATGGAATCTCTAACGCGAGTCAGCGAGCAGATCAGCGACAACCTCTCTGCGTTTATCTCTGCGGCTTGGTTACAGATTGCTGAGAACAGTTTCTCGCGGAGCGCATCAACCCAATGTTGTAGCACGATCAGCTCCAGTCACTGTACAGGCGCCCTGACAGCGGCACACCTACTGCTGTCTGAATACAATAGCCCAGGGGGGGGGGGGGCTGTTAGCGTGGTTGAGGTAATCAATTGCTTTTCTCATTCAGCCCACCTTGCATTGTCTCTACACCAGGGAGGGACAATTAATTTTCTCGGAGGGCCACATTGGAAACAGGGATGACTGTGGAGGGCCAAACTGATTAAAGCATTGTACCCCGCAATGCAGTGCATTACAGTGCGGCAGGTGCGTTGCATTGCCATGCATTTTAATGGCACCCCAAGCTCACCTCCTGGCCATAGTGTGTTTGACTGCATTGTAACATGTTGTACCATGTGTTGTGGTGCGGTTGAAGGCGTGCATGCAACGCGTTTGCTGCACTGTAACGCATGGTAGGTGTATTGCATTGTACCATGCATTTGTTGCTGCTGGGCAGGAAACTACACATGACAAACTCCATAGCCCCCCATATCCCACAGCCTGTATCACAGATAACTGCTTCAAAGGAGAACTATGGGGTCAGGGCCTTTCCCCATAGTTCTCCTTAGGGTAACGGGAGGACACAAACCTAGCGTCCTCCCGTCACCCTAGGCTCAGTATACCGTGAGCTGTAGACCGCAGTATACTGAGATGCCGCAGCTGAAGCGGTTCCCGACAATTGTGCCGGGATCTGTCCAGCTGCGTGACTTGACAGCTGGCTCCTCCTATTTAGAGGCAGAGCCAGCTGTACCCGCCCCCTCCCCCGTGCGATCCACCAGTCAGCCCTGGTGGATCGGAGCGGGGAATCCAGCCCCTCCCCTGTCACGGCAGAGAGCCGTGACAGGATCGAGAGGGGAGAGAACGCCTGTATGTGTTCGCTCACCTCCCGATCTACTGAGCCGACCTGTGACAGTCTCATTGTCACAGGTCGGCTAGAACTATGAGGTGAGTGAAAAGCACCCCCTCACCCCCCCTCATAGTTCTCCTTTTTAAGTTCTTTTTCTTTTCTTTTTTAAGTCCAAGGGTGGGAGTTGCAGGAGTGGAGATGGAGGAGGATCCCAGATATCATTGTCAGGGGAAGGAAGACCCCCTGACCCTGTGGGACATATCCAGCCCTTACTCTGGGGGTTTCCAGCCTGCTGAGCTACACTCCATTGTGGCTGGCTGGCTGACAGTGGATGCATCACCCTCTAATCCTGGTGCATCCACTCCCAGCCATAGCCAGCACAGGTTCGGACTGTTTTTCTCTTCGGTCCTTGGTTGCTAGGACTGCCCAGCGGTCCTTGCAACTAGTGACTCCAGAGGAGGACCTCCAATGTCATTAGTTGCTAGGATGCCATCGGCCCTAGCATCCCAGGACTGAAGAGAAACGTGAATCGAGCATGGACTGATTGCTGACTACTTGTGCTGGGCTATGCTCCGGGCTTGGAGGGCGATGCATCCACTGTCAGCCTGCCATGACGGAGAGCAGGACGGTGGGCTGCACAGACCCAGACCAAGGGCCAGATATGACCCCCTGGGCTGTAGAATGCCCAGGTCTGCTCCACATATTGCACAACACATTCCAAGGACGGGAAAAACAACTTCTAATAACATCTTTCTGCACAGTAACTGTAGCAAGCGAGCCTTTTGAGAATCTTACATTAGCATATAAGCACCTAACATTTAATCATCCGTAGAACATCTCATTATTTTTCATTATCAGTATGTATCTGGCTGAACATCTGACAGTACAGTCAGTAAAGCGGTCCAGCGGTTGGCGTATCCTATGGGCGCAATGAGAAATGCAACTATTGAGTTTGTACATACATGTGTGAAATAGTAATGGTGGTTTTGTTCTCTTCCCTCTGCACAGAGAAGCTCCTGGTTCTGACTGTAGCCACCGAGGAGACAGACGGATTTAGGCGCTTTCAGAGATCAGCGCAATGCTTCAACTACAAAGTGAAGGTGAGTTAGAAGCCAGGCCTTTGACCCCCCAGGGCGTCTTTCTCTGCACAAAGGAATTCCAAGAATTAAGCAGGAAATGGCCGACCAGGGAAGATATTTCTTAGCTCAGAGCGTTCTTCAACTGTGACTAAAGCAGCCTACAAATGTTAGAGATTGTTGACTTGAATTGGGGAATGTTCAATGTTTGTAGGCACCTCCATGACCCTGGTTGAGTCTGCTGATAGGGGAGTTGATCACCTGAGATGGATGGAGCTCTAAGTGCAAAGAGACCCTCAGCACGCCTGAGATGTTTTATAAAGGTTGCGGAAGGTGAAAGTGATGTAGTGACGTTGTGTTATATTCCCGCAGGTACTGGGGCTTGGGGAAGAATGGCATGGAGAGGGGCAGAAGGTCCGACTCCTCAAGACCGCACTGGAGCAATACGCCGACAATGAAGATCAGATTATACTCTTCACTGAAAGGTATACATGGGCAGAAGGGAGGTATCATTTTGACACCTGGAGCAGTGAGTTTCCAATTGGTGTCACTGATGGGAGCCCAGTCAGCTTATCATTGTCATTGGGTTCTCCAACATTGAAATGTCCCTACAATTCCACCAATGTGTGTTCCAGCTTCTACTGTTCATGGGCAGAGCAGGTGTACAGATCTGGGAACTTAGTGCAGGGATGGTGGGAGCTCCTCATAACGGGCACAGCGGGTGTACAGACCCGGGAACTCAGCACAGGGATGGTGGGAGCCCCTCATAATGGACACAGCGGGTGTACAGACCAGGGAACTCAGCACAGCGATGGTGGGAGCTCCTCATAATGGACACAGCAGCTGTACATACCCAGGAACTCGGCTCAGGGATGGTGGGAGACCCTCATAATGGACACAGCAGCTGTACAGACCCGGGAACTCAGCACAGCGATGGTGGGAGCTCCTCCTAATGGACACAGCAGCTGTACATACCCAGGAACTCGGCTCAGGGATGGTGGGAGACCCTCATAATGGGCACAGCGGGTGTACAGACCCAGGAACTCAGCACAGGGATGGTGGGAGCTCCTCATAATGGACACAGCAGCTGTTCATACCCGGGAACTCGGCACAGTGATGGTGGGAATTCCTCATAATGGGCACAGCATGTGTACAGACCAGGGAACTCAGCACAGGGATAGTGAGAACTCCTCATAGCGGGCACAGCAGGAGTACAGACCCAGGAACCTAAAGCACAGATACCTCACCAGTAGAGATAGAAGAGGGGGCCAGGGGGTTGAACTCTCCAGCATTCTCCATACACTGAGGGTGGACCGGCCATTTAATTTGTACAGGTCACTGTATTCTATAAATGGCGGTACAGGTTTTTCTTCATTGGTTTGCTCTGCGTATTTCCTTCACAGCTACGATGACGTCTTTGCTTCGGGCCCAGCTGAACTCGTGAAGAAATTCAAGCAAGCCAAAAGCAAAGTTGTTTTCACTGCGGAAGCCGTGGCTTATCCTGAACGGCGCCTGGAGCCCAAATATCCGACTGTCCTAGAGGGCAAACGCTTCCTGGGATCTGCAGGTACGTCACCGGCACACAGAGCTCCCAGTTTCAGGCATTTTAAAGACCTACATTTGTGTGTCCTCTGAAGGAGGACAATTATCATCGGGTTCCTCTTTCATTTCCTAGCTTACACTAGAAAAATACACTAGGAAATTGACTCGGCATTCAATTGAATTAAGGGAAGTATCGGGACAAGTGTCTCGCGCTCCCACAGATCACATCCTGTATTGATTTGCAGTGCCACTTGCTGGTGAAATCTGGTATTACAAGGGTAACCATTGTATGTAGTTTTCTATGAGAAGCATTGTATCTCCCCGATCAGATTTCAACTTGCTAAGTAATGGAAGCAGCAGTGGGACCCCTCCACTGTCGTACATAGAGGGACCCCTCCACTGTCGTACATAGAGGGACCCCTCCATTGTCGCTACCCCTCCACTGTCGCACGTAGGGGGACCCCTCCACTGTCGCACGTAGGGGGACCCCTCCACTGTCGCACGTAGGGGGACCCCTCCACTGTCGCACGTAGGGGGACCCCTCCACTGTCGCACGTAGGGGGACCCCTCCACTGTCGCACGTAGGGGGACCCCTCCACTGTCGCACGTAGGGGGACCCCTCCACTGTCGCACGTAGGGGGACCCCTCCACTGTCGCACGTAGAGGGACCCCTCCACTGTCGCACGTAGAGGGACCCCTCCACTGTCGCACGTAGAGGGACCCCAATCACATTCTTGTACCAGAATATTCTCTTTAAACTTTCCTACCTTTTTTTTTGGAGGTAGCTGCTGACTAGTGGTTGTTTTGTGTAGCGTGTATGGATTGGTCAGATCTATCATAGTGCCAGCTCCGACACTCCACCCTTGCTTGGTTCTGATGCCGGGGGCCATGAGCAGTGTAATCAGTCAGTAACTTCTGGAAAACTTTCCACTGAGATTGCCCTGAGGACCACTAACCTATTGCTACAAGCTGATTAATTCTTAGTTGCTTCTTTTCAAGGTGAACACATTCTGCTCATCTGATCTTTCCTTATAGCTGAGTTCCCCCCATGCCCCTTATTCACTGGATTTGAAGCACCCCTCAGGAATGAATACATTGTTTCATGGCGTGAATACAGTTAACCTGGAGATGTGATTGTAGGTGATTGTGATGGTTGTACTTTGTCTTGACCCTCTAAATCTCACGATTGACTCTCTCTGCAGCTTTCATCGGCTATGCTCCATATCTACACAAAATGGTGGCTGACTGGGACGGGGCGGATGAGGACAGCGATCAGCTCCACTACACAAAGATCTTCTTGGACCCGACAAAGAGGGTGAGTGACGCACGTCAATGTGTTGGATTGTAACCAGTGTACAATGTATCAGTGCAACCTGTCAGCATAAGGGATGAGTGTAAACGAAGATACAATGTATCAGTACAACCTGTCAGCATCAGGGATGAGTGTAAATGAAGATACAATGTATCAGTACAACCTGTCAGCATAAGAGATGAGTGTAAACGAAGATACAATGTATCAGTACAACCTGTCAGCATCAGGGATGAGTGTAAATGAAGATACAATGTATTAGTACAACCTGTCAGCATAAGAGATGTGTGTAAACGAAGATTCAATGTATTAGTACAACCTGTCAGCATAAGAGATGAGCGTAAACGAAGATTCAATGTATTAGTACAACCTGTCAGCATAAGAGATGTGTGTAAACGAAGATTCAATGTATTAGGACAATCTATCGTCATAAGGGATGAGTGTAAACAAAGATACAATATGGAGAGGCAGTTTCAGCTTTGTCAAAACTCTATATAGCAGACCGGATTCTAACACGACTTATTTCTTTCATTTAAAAGGAGAAAATAAACATCACTCTGGACCACCGATGCCGAATCTTCCAAAGCCTGCACGGATCCGTAGGTGAGTACGCGGTCAGAATTGTATTCATGCTGCAGGATGAAACTTACTGACTGGTCATATGAATGAAGAACACCAGTAAATGTTGCTCGCACATACCTTATATTGTGCTCAGATTGTTCATGGTTAGCCCCGCCCACGCGGAACCAGGATTTGAGGAAGGTGCAGAGCAGCCACTGCGTTAGGACAGTCATTTTAATATAAGTAATTTCCTATTCTGAAAATGGGGGGAGTTTCACTTTAATCAGTTCCTCCTTCGTGCAGGAGACGTGGTGATGAAGTTTGAGAACGGACGAGTGAGGGCGCGGAATCTCGCCTACGACACGCTTCCTATTTTGATACACGGGAACGGCCCCACAAAGGTGGGGAATCTGTCATACGTCTGATATAGATAGCAGAGACTTGTCTGTATGTGTGTAAAGGTTGCAGATGTTCCGTGCATGCATCAATTTGCCTTGTAATCTATTCGGCTGAATTGCAACATATTCGACCAGTGTATAGCTGAGCGAATGACGTTTGCAGAGCAAAACTGCCACTAGATGGAGCCAATGAGTTCAGAAATTCCCTTCACAGGGCAGTACTGCCACTAGATGGAGCCAATGAGCACAGAAATTCCATTCACAGCGCAATACTGCCACTAGGTGGAGCCAATGAGTTCAGAAATTCCCTTCACAGGGCAGTACTGCCACTAGATGGAGCCAATGAGCACAGAAATTCCCTTCACAGGGCAGTACTGCCACTAGATGGAGCCAATGAGCACAGAAATTCCCTTCACAGGTCAATACTGCCACTAGATGGAGCCAATGAGCACAGAAATCCCCTTCACAGGGCAGTACTGCCACTAGATGGAGCCAATGAGCACATAAATCCCCTTCACAGGGCAGTACTGCCACTAGATGGAGCCAATGAGCACAGAAATTCCCTTCACAGGGCAGTACTGCCACTAGATGGAGCCAATGAGCACAAATTCCCTTCACAGGGCAGTACTGCCACTAGATGGAGCCAATGAGCACAGAAATTCCCTTCACAGGTCAATACCGCCACTAGATGGAGCTGATAAACGGGAATTTCCTTTGCTCATTGGCTCCATCTAGTGGCAGTATTGCGCTGTGTAGCAAATTTCTGCCCTCATTGGCTCCTTCTAGTGGCAGAAATGAGCAGCGAACGTCATGCGTTTAGGGCAAATGTGTTCTAAATCAGCTCCTAAATGTTCCAGTGCACCAAGCCATTGCAGAATAGATGTTGGTAAACCTGTCTCCAACGGGTAGCTATACTAGTTTGGGTCTCCACTCTTGATGCAGCCTTCTCATTCAGAGATCGTAGGATTTTTTTTTGGACTATTTACTTGTATTCTCTCCCTGCCACATTGGTCATATCAGGTGGCAAGATCTGTCCAATCTTCTGCCTGAGCTCAGTGCTGAACAGGCATTCCAAAACTGTCCACATATCAACAGCTTGCTAATTGACTGTTTCAGGCCCTTCAGCAGCCCAGGCGTAGTGGCGGCTATCGGCTCTAAACGCAGGCAGCAGACGGGTCAGCTTCCACGGGGGCCTTACAGCCTGACATGTCTGCTCTGACAGGGAGAGAATAAGGGAAGCGAATAACAGCACAAACAGCCATCCCTGAGATGTAAGGTTGCACTATTAAAGAAGATTGGAGACTCTGATCATTACAAGGCAGAGAATTTCCTCCCTTGTTTGGAATTTAGAACAGCGGGAGAATAAAATGGATTGTTTACCAGCCCCCGTCAGTGCAGGTTATGGTGATTGTGAGTTCTACACACGTGTGGGTAACACTTGTGTCCTTTTAACCAGCTCCTGATGAATTATCTGGGGAATTACATCCCCCGTGTATGGACCTTCGAGACCGGCTGTGTCGTCTGCGACGAGGGCTTAAGGAGCCTCGCTGAATTTAAGGTAAATCGATGACCATTTCTCTGATTTTTTTTTTTTTTTTTTTTTTTGCCTTTTTATTTTTTTTTTTTTTTTTTTTTTGTGCCTTTTACAAAGCAGAACATTCCGGACATTAGAGCTGAACTCCAGGCAAAGAACTCAATCCATATATTGGAGCTGTGCTGTGACTGCCCCAAGGATTGGCAGTTCTGACCGCCCAGTCTTGAGATTTACACAGCCCTGTCATGCGGGGTCACGCACAGTCTGGCAGGCAACGGGCCTGATTTCTCTTTGCTGCAGTGAAGGAACACTTACGGGTCTTGTCCCGGCCCCCCCCCCAGCCTGTGACTGGACAGTGGAAGGAGAAGCGGCACAGTGATGAGCTCCTCTCTCTGTCACTGCTCTCTCCTCCTATCCTCCTTATTCCTTGTTAACACATGAGCACAACTGATTGGTTCCTTGTCCTGATCATGCCTCTCCCGGTCTGAGCTCTGCTGCACAGGGAGTGCAAGTGGCTGATACCAAGTCACATTCAGGTGGTGACACTACTTGTATTTGAAAAACATACATTTGATGAGAACAGGTGATGAGGAAGGCTGGGGGGGAGGGTTTAGGCCTGGGAGGTTACTGCTGGGGGTGAGGGGTGGGGGGGGAAGGCTGGTGGTGAGGGCTAGGGCGCGAGGGCTGGGGGTGAGGGCTAGGGTTACACATATGGCATGTCCTTTTCCCTTGCTCCTGTACATCCTCTGGCTGCTGCAGAATGGCAGTTGGTCAGGATCAGTAGACGCCTGCACTCTGCAGTTTGACTAACTGAACATTTCTCTTTTTATTTTGTGTTTTTTTTTTAATTTTCAACTTTCACATCGGCTGATCTGGCAAGTTTTACCCTCCTTCATTTTTTTGTTTTGTTCTCAGACGGACGACTCTTTCCCGTTGGTTGTGATCGGCGTTTTCGTTGAGCAGCCCACGCCCTTCATCTCGGAGTTCTTCAAGCGGCTCAGTAACATGCACTACCCCAAGCAGCGGATGCAGCTGTACATCGCCAATCGTGTGAGTACCACCCTGCTCTCATAGCGGCGCCTCCCTCCATGCACGGCGCTCGGCCAGGCGGGTGTTGATTTGCGGCGACGCCCCCTCTTTGTGAAGCCAGGCTTGCTTACATAAGCCGGAATCCACGTTTGTCTGCGACATTCCTCGCTCGGGTGAGGCATGCTGGGTAACGTTTAACCCTTTGTGTCCTGTGACCTCAGGAGCCCCATCACCAGAGACACGTGGAGAAATTCCTGAAGGAACGCAGCGCAGATTACAACTCGGTGAAATACGTTGCGCCGGAGGAAGTGTCGAACGCCGCGGACGCCCGCAATGCTGGAATGTATGTATTGCTTTTTATATATGTGTAGCAAGAGATGAATATTATATAAAGTCTTTCAAGTCCTGAGCTACTAGCCAGGCCTTAAAAGTTACTCGCCACCAGCTGCCCCACCTGACCCCTACGCTGCCCCGGCCTCAACTGACGCACAGTACAGAAGTCAGTGGTGCAATGCCGAATATAGAGGCCAGCTGTGTGACACGCAGAGGTCAGTAATGTAACGCATAGCGCAGAGGTCAGTAATGTAACGCACAGCGCAGAGGTCAGTAATGTAACGCACAGCGCAGAGGTCAGTAATGTAACGCACAGCGCAGAGGTCAGTGTGACGCACAGCGCGGAGGTCAGTGATGCAATGCCAAATGTAGAGGCCAGCTGTGTGACACGCAGAGGTCAGTAATGTAACGCATAGCGCAGAGGTCAGTAATGTAACGCACAGCGCAGAGGTCAGTAATGTAACGCACAGCGCAGAGGTCAGTAATGTAACGCACAGCGCAGAGGTCAGTAATGTAACGCACAGCGCAGAGGTCAGTGTGACGCACAGCGCGGAGGTCAGTGATGCAATGCCAAATGTAGAGGCCAGCTGTGTGACGCACAGCGCAGAGGTCAGTAATGTAACGCACAGCGCAGAGGTCATAATGTAACGCGCAGCGCGGAGGTAAGTGTGACGCACAGCGCGGTGCAGTCTTCCTCCCAGCCTATGGCAGCTGAGCTGGGCGGAGGAAGCTGTAGAAGACAGTGGAACCGATTGGCATCGAGGGGGTGCGCCGCTGGCGGGACCAGGGATGGGACACTATCCCTGGAAATTTTGAGGCCTGGTCTATACAGTATCTTCAATATCCTTATGATATCGACTTGTCAATAGTCGTATTGGCCTGATAAATATTGTCCAATTAGAATTGACATTTTGGCACTTAGAAGGAAGCAGAGGCTGCGTATGTAATTTGTCACCATGTATGTTCATGGCAACCTTCCTGTGTCATACGACAGTCACATTGAACATATATAATTACAAGTTACATATGCAGCCTCTGCTTCCCTCTAGGTGCCGGACTTGTAATTGTGCTTTATATTAAATGTTCATGTTAAAGGAGAACTATGAGGGGGGAGGTGCTTTTCACTCCCCTCATAGTTCTAGCCGACCTGTGACAATGAGACTGTCACAGGTCGGCTCAGTAGATCGGGAGGTGAGCGAACACATACCGGCGTTCGCTCTCCTCTCGATCCTGTCACAGCTCTCTGCCGTGACAGGGGAGGGGCTGGATTCCCCGCTCCGATCTGCCAGCGCTGACTGGCGGAACGGATGGGGGAAGGGGCGGGTACAGCTGGCTCTGCCTCTAGATAGGCAGAGCCAGCTGTCAGTCACGCAGCTGGGCGGATCCCGGCATAATTGTCGGGATCCGCTTCAGCTGCGGCGTCTCAGTATACCAGGAGCTGTAGCTCGCGGTATACTGAGCCTAGGGTGATGGGAGGACGCTAGTTTGTGTCCTCCCGTTACCCTAAGGAGAACTATGGGGAAAAGCCTTAACCCCATAGTTCTCCTTTAAGCTAAGCAGTTGTTTACCGCGGTTGCTGCGCATTAAATTAGTTACACAAAACCTTTGGCCAAAAATATGTAGAAGCCGCAACCGCCCCGTCAAGGCTCCTCTGTGAAGTGTGGTGCTAACTCTATTTGTATGAGTCTCCCATGTTGGGGCATATTAATGCAGTCGATAAATTAAATGCAGGTGTGCCTGGAGATAGCCCACTCCTCCTCAAATATTGCTGTAAGCCTTCCCATGCGCAACTTGCTACAAAGGCTGGTTATAAATGTATGCAGTTGCCATTTTGCTTCTTGTAGTTCCACAACGTCTGGGGGGCCGGAGTTGCCCACCCCTGCGTTTATATATTGTATCAAGGCCATTGGTCTTGTGGTCTTTGATGGGGTTTGGAGAAGTGGCTTCCAAGAGAGCCAAGCAATCATTGTGTGTCTCTCTCTATCTCTGAAACTCCTCCCTTGGCGGCAGTGACGTGCGGTACCTCTTGCTCCGGGTGAGGCATTCCCCAGCCCTGCCCCCTGTCGGCCGAAGCTCTGCCCCCTGTCGGCCGAAGCTCTGCCCCAAGCTAGTGTAAGGGAGGCGACAGGGAGGAGCCTCCCGGTCCTTCACTGCTGAGGCGCTCCGTCCATGACAGGTTACACAGCGGGGGAGGATTTCCCTGCTGTGTAACCTGTTGGATGCCGATCTGAATGGAGAAAAAGCTGTCAGCTTCAGACATAAACCTGACAGCTTTTTCCTCCATAATACTAGGTGAGGCTCCGCCTCCTCTGACCGCACATCCTTGCTTGGCGCAGACCATTTGACGCCGGGCTGCCAGAAGGGAGGGGCACGGCGGTGTGTTGGAGATGGATTTTAGAATACAGGTCCTCTTTAATTGTACAGATTATTTTTGTAGCGCTACTCGCTAACCTCATCCTGGTGTTTTTACTTTGTACTTCTCTCCCCCTTCCAGGGATTTGTGCCGGCAGAACCCGGAGTGTGAATATTACTTCAGCATCGATGTCGAGGTGGTGCTGAAAAACTCCAGCGTGCTGCGGACCCTCATACAGCAAAACAAGTATGTCATCGCTTCACCCTTGTCCCTCTTAAAGTGGACCCGTGCCCACCATTGTGATGGTTGAAGAATCCCTCTGCGTAGTTCTAACCAGTCACCCTGTCTCCTTTCAGGTCCATCCTCGCCCCGATGGTCAGCCGGGTTCAGGACGTGTGGACCAATTTCTGGGGGGCGCTGGGCAAAGATGGTTTCTACGCACGATCTGAGGATTACATCGATATCGTCCAGGGACAGAGGATGTGAGTACATTTATGAGTCCTTATAGACCCAGGGATTCCATTCAGGGATGGTGGGAGCCCCTCATAATGGGCACAGAAGGTGTACAGACCCGGGAACTCAGCACAGGGATGGTGGGGGCCCCTCATAATGGGCACAGCAGGTGTACAGACCCGGGAACTCAGCGCAGGGATGGTGGGAGGCCCTCATAATGGGCACAGCGGGTGTACAGACCCGGGAACTCAGCACAGGGATGGTGGGGGCCCCTCATAATGGGCACAGCGGGTGTACAGACCCGGGAACTCAGCACAGTGATGGTGGGAGCCCCTCATAATGGGCACAGCAGGTGTACAGACCCGGGAACTCAGCACAGGGATAGTGGGGGCTCCTCATAATGGGCACAGCAGGTGTACAGACATGGGAACTCAGCACAGGGATGGTGGGAGCCCCTCATGGGCACAGCAGGTGTACAGACCCGGGAACTCAGCACAGGGATAGTGGGGGCTCCTCATAATGGGCACAGCGGGTGTACAGACCCGGGAACTCAGCACAGGGATAGTGGGGGCTCCTCATAATGGGCACAGCGGGTGTACAGACCCGGGAACTCAGCACAGGGATGGTGGGAGCTCCTCATAATGGGCACAGCAGGTGTACAGACCCGGGAACTCAGCACAGGGATGGTGGGGGCTCCTCATAATGGGCACAGCAGGTGTACAGACCTGGGAACCTGGCACAAGGATGGCGCGAGCCCCTCATAATGGGCACAGCAGATGTACAGACCCGGGAACTCAGCACAGGGATGGTGGGAGCTCCTCATAATGGGCACAGCAGGTGTACAGACCCGGGAACTCAGCACAGGGATGGTGGGAGCCCCTCATAATGGGCACAGCAGGTGTACAGACCCGGTAACTCAGCACAGGGATGGTGGGAACCCCTCATAATGGGCACAGCAGGTGTACAGACCCGGGAACTCAGCACAGGGATGGTGGGAACCCCTCATAATGGGCACAGCAGGTGTACAGACCCGGGAACTCAGCACAGGGATGGTGGGAACCCCTCATAATGGGCACAGCAGGTGTACAGACCTGGGAGCTCAGGGATGGTGGGAGCCCCTCATAATGGGCACAGCAGATGTACAATCAGATTTATACACGTGTGGTTATGTTATATCGAGTAAAATGCCGTGCTTTGCTGATCACCTGACTCTTCCGGTCCTTACAGCGGCATCTGGAACGTCCCATACATCACCAATGTGTATCTGGTGAAAGGCAGCGTGCTCCGGAATAGACTGAAGCAGTACGACATCTTCCGCAGCGGATCCTGTCTTCCGGGAAGGGCAGTGTGGATCCTGAGATCATGGAATAGTCAACCATTTAGAGTGTTTCAACGCACAACACAGTCATGGCCGACTGTTGTCACCATGAGAAACCCACCCTGAGGTGATGACGTGGGTGGTAAATGTTATCAGATTTGCTGCTATCGTTATCCTGGGTTGTTACAAATATCAATGTATGCAATAATCTTTACATTCTGACATATGGAGGAAACCGTACTCACCTCTGTGTGTACTCCGCTCCTGCTCTGTGGGTGACAACACAAGTTCTAATGTGACCGGCTATTGTGCGTCCCTCCTGTGTTTACCTTGGAACAGGCGCCTCGGCGTATGAAGCCGATATTGTGTGTGTGTCAATCTTCACCTACTGACGTCTCTCTCACCTTCCAGGGAGTTTTCATGTTTGTGACCAACCGGCAACCCTTCGGCCACCTCCTGTCCCTGGAGAACTATCAGATGAGCCACCTCCATAATGACCTGTGGGAGATCTTTCAGAACACCCAGGTGAGACGATGACATGGAACACGTCCGGAATGAGGGAAGATCTCCGAATTGTCTCAGTGTTATCTGTCTTTTTATTTTCTCCTCTCCTCCTTCCTGATTTAAATGATTTGATTTCATTCCTCAGGACTGGAAGGAGAAGTACATTCACCCCAATCACACTTTTGCCCTCAAGGGAACAAATATTGAATCGGTGAGTGTTCCCTTAAAGGGGAAGGGGGGCAGTCCATGAAATGTTATTTTCTAGATACATGTGGAAGAACCGCCTTCATGTATACAATGTGATCAGTGAAGGTTACTCGGGGTATAGTGTGAGGTGTGGACAGTACATGGAGGGGAGCCAGACGTGGTCCTTACACTTTGCATGCTCTGCGTACGACTTGTGACTCGCGGTCTCGTATCGCTCGGATTTATCATCTGGTTTTGGGATCTGTGCGGCTTGTAATGAAGAGGAATATTTTGTGTGTTTTTGTATCTTCTCCTATGTCATCCCCAATGTTTGCTATCCCCCAGCCGTGCCCCGATGTGTACTGGTTCCCGTTGTTCACAGACACAGCCTGTGACGAGCTGGTGGAGGAAATGGAGAACTACGGCCAGTGGTCAACTGGAAACAAACAGGTAAGAAGCACAGAGAGCTGCCGAATGTCACTTCACCTGAACACAATGACCGAGTGTTGTCAGGGTGGAGTGGGAATTTCATTATTTGCATGCAGACCGCCCTAGGTAACACCCACATGTGACGCTGAGCCTCCATGATTGAAAGAACTGAAATCCAACGAAAAGGGGCGGGGCCAGGGACAGTCAGACTGGGGAGGAAAGCACTAGATGATGCTGGGCGTCCTCCAGGCAGGAAATGAGGCGGGCTCTATCTGACTTGCTCCAGATTCTAATGCAGATTGTGAGAAGCTCCCAGTGTGCAGTGACATCAGAGGAAGCCATTCCAGTCCAGGAGAGGAGCCGCTACAACTGTGCCAGACTGAAGGGAAGGCCGGAGGTCAGATAGAAGACTGAAGGGAAGGCCGGAGGTCAGATAGAAGACTGAAGGGAAGGCCGGAGGTCAGATAGAAGACTGAAGGGAAGGCCGGAGGTCAGATAGAAGACTGGAGGGAAGGACGGAGGTCAGATAGAAGACTGAAGGGAAGAACGGAGGTCAGATAGAAGACTGAAGGGAAGGACGGAGGTCAGATAGAAGACTGAAGGGAAGGACGGAGGTCAGATAGAAGACTGAAGGGGAGGACGGAGGTCAGATAGAAGACTGAAGGGGAGGACGGAGGTCAGATACAAGACTGAAGGGAAGGACGGAGGTCAGATACAAGACTGAAGGGCACGACGGAGGTCAGATAGGAGACGGAAGGGAAGGGCGGAGGTCAGATAGAAGACTGAAGGGAATGCCGGAGGTCAGATAGAAGACTGAAGGGAAGGCCGGAGGTCAGATAGAAGACTGAAGGGAAGGCCGGAGGTCAGATAGAAGACAGGAGGGAAGGACGGAGGTCACATAGTTGACTGAAGGGGAGGACGGAGGTCAGATAGAAGACTGAAGGGAAGGACGGAGGTCAGATAGAAGACTGAAGGGGAGGACGGAGGTCAGATAGAAGACTGAAGGGAAGGACGGAGGTCAGATAGAAGACTGAAGGGAAGGATGGAGGTCAGATGGAAGACTGAAGGGAAGGCCGGAGGTCAGATAGAAGACTGAAGGGAAGACCGGAGGTCAGATGGAAGACTGAAGGGGAGGACGGAGGTCAGATTGAAGACTGAAGGGGAGGACGGAGGTCAGATAGAAGACTGAAGGGGAGGACGGAGGTCAGATTGAAGACTGAAGGGGAGGACGGAGGTCAGATAGAAGACTGAAGGGGAGGACGGAGGTCAGATAGAAGACTGAAGGGGAGGACGGAGGTCAGATAGAAGACTGAAGGGGAGGACGGAGGTCAGATAGAAGACTGAAGGGGAGGACGGAGGTCAGATAGAAGACTGAAGGGGAGGACGGAGGTCAGATAGAAGACTGAAGGGGAGGACGGAGGTCAGATAGAAGACTGAAGGGGAGGACGGAGGTCAGATAGAAGACTGAAGGGGAGGACGGAGGTCAGATAGAAGACTGAAGGGGAGGACGGAGGTCAGATAGAAGACTGAAGGGAAGGACGGAGGTCAGATAGAAGACTGAAGGGATGGATGGAGGTCAGATAGAAGACTGAAGGGATGGATGGAGGTCAGATAGAAGACTGAAGGGATGGATGGAGGTCAGCCTTAATAATACCCCATAAGAATCAGAGGTCATGCAAACGCATACAGTGAGACTAGGGAAGGATTATCTGTGCCATTTGTGCATTGTGTATACATTTTAAAGGTGTGTGTGTGTATATAATATAATCTAATACAAACAATCCGTTTGTTTAACATGCAGAAGTTCGCACTGAGCCAGTCTATTTTATGACATCTACAGAGCTATTATCTGCTGTATCGTTATTTTTCTTTTCTTTTTTCTTCTTATTATGGAAAATGTTGCGGTTTTGTGCTAAACAAGATAATATTGCAACCCCCAAAAATCCAAAACTATCCGCGCTGGAAGTAGAGCCAATGAACGCTGACAAGTTCCAAAATACAGTGCACAGCGCCACCTAGTGGCTAAAGGCTTACCACGCGCCGTATGGTTAAAGTGATACTAAACTCCGGGGATAAGCCTTAAAAATCCATTCAAGTCCCCGAACTACTAATAACAATGTATCTAATTTGTGTATCACTCGGCTGCAGATCCTCCAATCATCTCTGAATTGGTGCTGACACTGTCCTTCCCTCTGGAGGGGGGCTACATCTGTTCCCCATGGTCTCTGTGTGTGTTGTAAAGTAGTCACCGCTCCAAGCTCACTCCCGGGATGGACTACAATCTCATGTTTAGTTTACTCATTTGTATTGAGATTGTAGTCCATCCCGGGAGCGAGCTTGCAGCGGTGACTACTTTACAACACACACACAGGGACCATGGGGAACAGACGTAGCCCCCCCTCCAGAAGGAAGGACAGTGTCAGAGATGATTGGAGGATCTACAGCCGAGTGATACACAAATAAGATACATTGTTGCTCATAGTTCTGGGACTGGAAGGGATTTTTAGGATGTAACTCCTGAGTTTAGTGTCAGTGTAACATGCCCGTCATTGGGTGATGTGTTTGCAGTAACGTTCCCTCCTCTTGATGTATCGCAGGACCAGCGGCTGCAGGGAGGGTATGAAAACGTCCCGACGATCGACATTCACATGAACCAGATCGGCTACCAGAAGGAATGGCACAGGCTTCTGTTGGACTTTGTAGCGCCGGTGACTGAAAAGATGTTCCCCGGTTATTACACGCAGGTGGGTATCTCCGGCTCCGCAGAATGTCCTTCCCTATGCTTGTAATTCATCGTCATGGCAAATGGGAACATTGACCTCCGATGTCAAATGTATCCGCGGGTGACATTCTATTTCCTCCGCTTCGGATGGGGTGTGGGAGGATGACAACCCCTGTCAGGTTTTTATTGCCGCCCATTCAGCCTCTCCGTTTGTCCTGATGACCGTTGTCACTGAGACAGAATGTGACGGGAAGTCTGATATTTTTAAAGTTAAACCAGGACAGGAACAGAGGGGAAATCTACCAGTGGGGGACACCCATTCCAGTGACACCTAAAGAGTGGGAATTCAATCAATTTGGAGAGATTTCGTCTAATTTCCTGTTATGTGTCTAGGACAGGAAGTGAAATCTACGTTTTTAAAAAAACTCTGGTTTTAACCCTTCCCCGTCCTATCTAATGCCACTTTTAACAATAACAAAGACAGTTACTTTTAATCTGCTTTTATGTTGCCTTCCCTGGCCCCTCCTTCCATTTTCATTACCTACCTTATTTTAGACTTGGTGATTTCATCATTGGGACTCTGCGCTTCTCCATGCAATGCAGGCAAATCATGCTGATGGGAGGGGCCGGCAGGGTGCTGTACATGGCTGGTGGGAGGGGCCTGGCAGGGTGCTGTACATAGCTTCCTGAAAACATCACTGCACTCTGCCTCAGTACTCCTCTCCGGGGGTCTCAGTCCTGATGCAAGCAGTGGGATGGCTCTTGAGCGGAGTTATGCAAATATCAAAATGCCTGGATGGGTGGGTGTCAGTGTGGAGGAGCGGGCGTTCCTAATGCCCACATGTGACACTGAGCCTCCATGATTGAAAGAACTGAAATCCAATGAATGAAAGGGGTGGGGCCAGGGGCAGTCAGGCTGGGGAGGAAAGTCCAGATGATGCTGGACGTCCTCCAGCCAGGGAATGAGGGCGGGCTCTCTCTAACTTGCTGCAGCTTCTAATGCACATTGTAAGAAGCTCCCAGTGTGCAGTGACCTCAGAGGAAACCATTTTAGTCCAGGAGAGGAGCCGGTAGAACCGTGCAAGACTGAACGGACGGACGGAGGTCAGCCCTTGGGACCGGCCTCCAGGGGGACCCCATTCATGGTGCCATAATAGCTAGAAAATGAACTGTAAGACCTCATTCAGCTGAGTCCAGTTGGGTTTTATGCCATTGAGCCAAACGTGAGTAGAATTCAGACATTGCCTGTGGCCAGATTACAATATGTGGAGCCGGCAGCAGCCCCGCTGTGTCCTTCCAGTTCTCTCCCAGCAGGAAGAGCAGTGTTTGGTGAATGGGCCGGCAGTGTCACTGGTATTCTCTGCGTCCTTCATTGATCCCACTCTCCATGTGTTTGTTTTTCCCTACAGGCTCAGTTTGACTTGGCCTTCGTAGTACGTTACAAGCCGGACGAGCAGCCGTCCCTGGAACCCCACCATGATGCCTCCACCTTTACCATAAACCTCGCTCTGAACAGCGTGGGTCAGGATTACGAGGTCAGTCCCCTCCCCTTCCCCGCAGCCGTCCCACGCCATTGCTACCGGTCACATTAATGTCCCGCTCCATCAAGGTGCCTAAAAGATTAACTGTCTTTGTTGTCCCACAACAACCCTTCAACGTGTCTGTCTTCACCTCTGGTCTTTCAGTGTGGGTTTTATTTGAGTGGTAGCGATGGGGCTTCAACACAGACAGGTTTTATTTCAGATAATTAACTGAAAGCCCAAATTCTGGCAAATATAGATCTGATAGCCGTAACGCAAAAATTGTGTGACCTGAAAGATTGTAGTGGCCGCTATTTTATTTTACAAGGCCTCCGCTTTCAGAAAATATGTTTTGGGGGGGTTTTTTAAAATTATTTCGGCCTAAAATGTTCAGCGAAAGGGTTAAACCCGGCCATCATTGTCTTCTTTTCCCTTGCAGGGAGGTGGCTGCAGGTTCCTCCGTTACAATTGCTCCATCAGTGCCCCCCGGAAGGGCTGGGCGTTGATGCACCCGGGCAGACTGACGCACTACCACGAAGGACTTCCCACCACCAAAGGCGTCCGATACATCGCAGTCTCCTTTGTGGATCCTTAGGCGGAGACTCGAGTGAACTTAACTTTTTTTTTTTCCCTGAGAAGTTACAATGTAACTCTGATAAAGTGTTATGAGAGAGAGGGGTGGAGCCAACTGAAGATCAATGACTGGCGACTGATCAAGGTGGAGCCATCTGAACTCATTGTAAACCAGACGCCCTGATGAGTTCACGCTGGTTACCATGACGAGCATAGCGAACAAACTGTGAAATCCCCTCCCATCTTTCCCATGTCTGTTTGTAGTTGAAATTCTGCATTCTGAGCTGATGTCCCAATGTTTTATGTTGTACCAAACCCCCCCGTGCGCTGGTCCCTCCAATCCTTATCCACTTGGTTTTTGTTTACCCATTATGATTGTTCCTCCCTAATGCAGTACTGCCATGCTTGTGCCTAAATTGGACATCTTAAAGAAGAAGCATCACCACTACTTAAAAATCAATGTTGAAGGCCATAGGGGACCACGTGGTCTTGGTCCTGTTCTGATCTGTGGCCAGATTGTGCAAAAAAAGAACATCTTTGTGTGTCTGAGCTGGCGGTCAGCTCCACCCCAGGATGAAGCCCAATTTGTGGCTGTTCCTATGGGGGGAACTGCAGCCCAGTGTTGTAGCGGCTGCCCTTTCTCCGCCACTAGGTCTCTTTTTGTGTTGTGATCTGAGCTGACTCCTCCCCCTGCTGTGGTGAATGACAGTGCAGACGCCACTCCTCCTCTGTTGGTTAGCACTCTGCTTGTGTTGTGATCTGAGCTTAGCCCTCTCCCTGCTATGGTGAATGATGGTACCTAGCTCTAGTGCACGCCTTTAGCCAGAGATTAGGGCTGTCACTGACACCTCATTAAATTATTATCTCCTGCTGAGCAACATGGTCGAACAGCGGTGGGGTGGTCTGTCTACCTCCCTCTAGCTCAGCAATCACAGCACATTTCAGAAATGGCTCTGCCTATCTAGAGGCAGAGCCAGCTGTACCCTCCCCCGTCTGTTCCGCCAGTCAGCGCTGGCGGAGCGGGGAGGGGGGAATCCAGCCCCTCCCCTGTCACGGCAGAGAGCCGTGACAGGATTGAGAGGTGAGCGAACGCCGGTATGTGTTCGCTCACCTCCCGATCTACTGAGCCGACCTGTGATAGTCATTCCAGATCTTTACATTATAATCCCAGAACACAAGTCAAAAATACCCACAAATTCCATTCACGGATATAACTTTTTGCCCCAAACCTACAACACGGGAATATTGATGTTCCTGCCAATTTGTGTGTGCAGCAGCTCCCCGTTACATTCTCCCACACCTAATAGTGTGACCATTAAAGGGGTGGGAGATCTACATAATGGACACAGCAGGAATGCAGACCCAGGACCTCAGTGCAGGGAATGTGGGAGCCCCTCATAATGGACACTGCAACTGTGTAGACCCGGGAACTCCGCACAGGGATTGTGGGAGCCCCTCATAATGGGCACAGCAGGAATGCAGACCCGGGACCTCAGTGCAGGGAGAGTGGGAACCTCTCATGATGGGCACAGAAGGTGCGCAGACCTGGGACCTCAGTGCAGGGAGAGTGGGAACCTCTTATGATGGGCACAGAAGGTGCGCAGACCTCGGACCTCAGTGCAGGTAATGTGGGAGCCCCCTCATAATGGGCACAGCAGCAGTGCAGCCTGGGAACTCAGCACAGTGATTTTGGGAAAACCTATCCATGGGCACAGAAGGTGTGTGAAGACCTGGGCTCCCAGAGGAGAGATGGTAGGGGCCTCTCCTAATGGGCACAGCAGGCGTACAGACCTGGGAACTCAATTTATGGAATATATATAGTGTCTCTAAAAAATGAATCTTTACTGTATCTAAAAAAAGGAAATTTTGGCTTCAGATATACTTTAAGTGAAAGTTAAAGGATAACAAATACCCAAGTGCCCCCCTAGTGGCCAATCTGCGGTACTTAAATTAAAAGGCTGTTCCCTCTTAGTGGTTGTGCCTTCTTAGTATTGTGCCTTTCTCTGCCTTGTTGTGCGATGTGACACTCGGCATCTCCTGTGTTTTTCCAAGCAGGGTCATCTGGCAGTCTCCGTCCTAATTTTAGGTGGCCGGAGACTGCCAGATGACCCCGCTTGCAGCGCCGCCCACTGGAGCAGCAGTGATGCGACGCTCGGCGAGTTAAGTAAGAAAAAAAAAAACCCTGCAGCGGTCATGAATAGGTTAAATCATGATCCATAGTACAGAACATGTAGTTGTACTATGGATCATTTAAAGTCACCTGTCCCTTTAAGAAAAAGTATCGGTAATTGGTATCGGCAAGTACATGAGGGGAAGTACTTGTACTTGGACCTGAAAAAGTGGCATCGGGACATCCCTAGTATTTTGTACATTTTGATAGAATCAGCGGCGGAGGATGTTGTAAACACTTGTTCAATAATAAACTAGTCTCGGGCAATGACAGTCGTGTCCTGGACAATGGCTCACCCCTCTGGGTCTCAGTGAGAGTATAAATATTTACTGTACTGTACAGTGTGTTAGGATTTTTACATTAAAATAAAGTCTTGTGCTTGTCGTGTCTTCATTCTTCTGTGGCATTCTAGTACCATTTGTGAAGTACATTGAACAGTGCTATACACACTGATTACCTGTCACCTAAACATATCTGGGCTGACCAGGGGATGAGGGCGGGCGGCCGGGTGCAGGTGGCAGCGGCCGGGGGTCAAGGGGCCGTTCGCGGTGGCATCAGAGAGGCCCGAGGGGCAATTGCCACCCTGCCCCCCGGCCCAGTCTGCCCCTGGGGCTGACACAGTGTATGTATACCCTAACAATGGCCTTCTCTTATTTGATCCCTTTTGGTCTGTTAAATACACCACTGAAATTATTTGTTACAGTAGATCTCTATTATAATTACATACAATTAACTATTGGACCTGCCAGTTCCCTTTGAGTCCTGTAGCATTCTGACCTCACCAAGCATGGAAGCAGATCCGTGCTGGTGTGGCCAGTTTGGGTTCCTCAGCTTTCCAATCGGAGCTTCAAGATGCTGTGCCAACCCACGTCCTGCATGTAGTCTCATAGCAAGCCTTGTGGCCACCCCAAACGGTCAGTCCTGTTCTGCTTGATTGACAGCTGCCTTCCCCACTATCCTACTCCTCATCCACTGCCTGCTCTCAGACACCCCCTGCACTTGGGAAGATGGATGGGCAGAGAGAGCATGCGGTCACGTGACTAAAACAACACAGAAATAAGGTATACAATTAATTTTGGATAAAAGATGTTTATTCGACCATTAGAGATGTTTTTGAATGCGATAGTGCTCTTCTGTTTATTATGCTTCATATATATTTTGAAAGCATAGACAACAATAAAAACAATGGCAATGGTTGATGATGAGATGAGATGAGATCTCTCGGCTTCGGTTTTCAGGCTTCTTTTATCTTGCGGGCAAGGACACAGCACATATGGCTGTAGTCAACGATGTCATTGGGTTCCACACCTCTCAGCAGAGACGACTTTTCGATGATGAAGCCGGCTTTGATCACCAGCTCTTGTAGCTCTTTCTCGTCTAAGGTCAAGCAGAAGTAGCGGTGGGAGCCCACCATGTAGAAGGTCATGTCCAGCACCATGAACACCAGCAGCTGGCCTCCAGCTTTCAGTCTGGATGTGAGGCTCACCAGGTTCTTTAGGAGGTCGTCCTTCGTTTTACTGATGACGTTTAATATCCATAAAGTGATGACACAGTCCACCTGTGGCACCAGCGCAGGATCCAGGCTGTTGGTTTCATAGTTGTCCCACTTATACACCCCTTTAATGAGGCTACTCGTCTGGTCTTCCTTCTCCTGCCACCCTTGTCTGGAACAAGAAACCATGTCTCATAATTAGTGATGGTCCGAACACACCCGAGTTCGTTTCGAATTCAAACTTTAGAACATGGAAAAAGTTTGAACTTAAACTCAATGAAAGTCTATGGGGGTAGAACTCGGAAAATCAATTGTCCCCATTTTGAAGGCTTATATGCAAGTTATTGGCCATTAAAAGTGTATGGGGATCCGAGTTCTGTCCTGGGGGACAGGAATCCATGCAAAAAACACTTTAAAAAAAATATGATTTTTAAAGGAGCGGTGATTTTAACATTGTTTAAAGTGAACAATAAAAATGAAAAATTCCTTTAAATATGGTGCCTGGGGGGTCCCCTTAAACTGCCTGTAAAGTGGCGCATCTGTACGACGTATAGAACCTGCTTCAGCAAAAATGACATAAGGAAAAAAAAATTGCGCGGTTCCCCCTCCCAAATAATACCAGACCCTTAAGGTCTGTTAGGAATTTTAGGAGGAACCCCATTTAAAAAAAAATGTACGTGGGGTTCCCCCCGAAAGTCATACCAGGCCCTTAAAAGAGAACTATGGGATAAGTGTTTTTCCCCATAGTTCTCGTAAGAGTCATGGGTGGATATATACTAACCTCCTCCCGTGACCCAAACCTCAGTATATAGGGAGCTACAGCTCAAGGTATACTGAGACCGCCACAGCCGGGACAGATCCCGACATTACTGTTGAGAGCCACCCAGCTGCGTGAGTGACAGCTGGCTCTGCCTGTCTAGAGGCAGAACTAGCTGTACCCTCCCCCTTCCGTTCCTCCAGTCGGCGCTCGAGGATCAGAGCGGGGAGGGGGGAATCCCTGCAGGGAGATGGTCGAGAAGTGAGCAAGCGACGGTATGCGTCCTCTCACTTTCCGATCTTTAGAGCCGACGTGTGACAGTTTCATTGTCACAAGTCGACTCGAACTATGAGGTGAGTGATTTTCACTCACCTCTTAGTTCTCCTTTAAGGTCTCGTAGGAATTTTAAGGAGGAACCCCTCCGGCACGCTGTGCCTTGCCACACGAACCATCGATCTTTGAGTCGAACTGTTGGTCAACTCGAAAAAGGAGCCCATCCCTCCTCATAATAATAATAATTCTAACTAACACTGCTGGGTCTACTACTAATAGTAATACTACTACAGATAATGTCATAGGAAAATGTTTACTACTTTGATTCATTTTGCTATTAGTAATGATAATTATATAACACTACACCTTTACCTTTTTTATTTGGATATGCAACTGTAATTACTATTAGTAGTAAAGGCAATAAAAGAATTGCTTCTCCTCCTCCTGCTACTCACATACTAAAACTCATTTTTTATTAAATATTTTTGTTTTTTACTTTACTTTTAGGGGCTTTGGGGAAATATTGGGGGTCTAAACAGACGTCTGATATTTCCCTTTTAAAATAGAAAAAGAGATTGAGGACACAAAGTCCTCAATCTCTTTTTCTGCAGCCCCTCGTATCAATGAACAGGTATCCTCTATACTGAGTGTTCCTGTTCATTGATAACATGAGGACAGGGTATGTTTACTATAACCACAATCATAAATGTACAGGAGGGGGTGTAGATGTGATGGATATCACTTCCCATTCATTCATAATTGAGGATATAGTAACCCTACCATGTCCTCAATTATGTACAAACACTCAGCGATCACTGACTGCTTGTACCCGCTCTCCATCCTGACACGCTGTCACAGGAGGCTGATCGAGTGGTGCAGGGAGGAAAGCCCCGCCTCCTGTGACAGCGCTGTCTCCGCCCCAACACCGCTCTGCCGGACTGTGATAGGGAGGAGACGCCCGACCGCTCACAGCGCTCTCCACCGCAGCGCTCGGCCGGCTGTCACTTTCTCTTCTCCCCGCTGGGACACAGAGCAGCGCCCAGCGCGGAGGAAAGAAATCAGGGATGCGCGGATGTATCCCTGCTTGTAAGTACTTGGGCAAGTATCAGTACTTGTACTCGCAAAACTGGTATCGGTGCATCACTTATATACAGTATATTTATAAAAACAAAATCATACAATAAAACAGAGATGTACAAATCCAGGGAGCTCCGTGCGTTCCTAACAAATGACAGCGGCCTCCTAACTTTTGAAATTTTCTTTAGTCTAGTCTTGGAGCTCGAAAAGTATCTGTACTTGTACCGAGTACTGTACTTGGTATCGGTGCTTCCCTAATTTCTACTACTGCTAATATTATTGATCCAACTACTAATGCCGGCTATATTACTACAAATGCTATGACACTACACCCTATTCTACTACTTTTCATTCTAATAGTGATGCTGCTGCGGTTACTGCTATTCATAAAGGTGATAATACCGTAGCATTGCTTCTTCTTCTCCTACTACTACTACCACCGTGTTTCCCCGAAAATAAGACACTGCCTTATATTTTTTTTGTCCCCAAAAAAACACACTTGGTCTTATTTTCAGGGGATGTCTTATTTTTTTGGTTTTTAATGTGTAACAAAATGGTCAGTATCGCTAACGCTGATCCCTTTATTTCACTTTCACAGGCGGAGTGCATCTGGCATCACTTCGCCTATCACAGTAACCGGCGCTATAGAGGAAGTATTGGCTAATGCGGCTCTGCTCCCTTCCCGCCGCCGCAGCCTTACTTTCTACAGCGCCGTCAGAGACAGCGGTACCAGCGGTGCAGCAGTGGGGACATCAGACGGTGGACAGCGTGGTAAACTACTGTACCATTTACCGGTACACATTACAGTACAGTACCATTACATTAAGCAGTGCCTTCAGGGGGGCAGCAGTTGGCTGAAGTATGGTACTGGAGTGCTCCCTGTCACTGCGCTGGCCGGACGGAGTCCACCCGTCATCCCCTTAATACAGTATGTCCCTGCAGGCTGATATTATCTCTCCTGCTCTTCAAGTTCCCCCTCACATGCTACCACCAAACTAGGTCTTATTTTTGGGGTAGGTCTTATATTACAGGAATCTTGAGAAATACTGCTAGGTCTTACTTTCGGGGAAACAGGGTACTAATACAGATCAGATAATGCATTTATTTTGTAGCACTAAAGTTACTTTTCCTGCTATGAGTAATGATCCTACCACTCATGTCAGCAATAGTAGAATGTGCGATTCGTTTCGGAAAGATTTGTTATTTGGACAAATTTTCATTAGTCGGAGATTGGGATGTATCTGATTCTCCAAATGACGAATGAGCACGAATCCGAATTTCCGAAAACAAACATTTCGGATGAAATTCGTTTTCGTTTGTGGACGAATTTTCGGTGCAGCAAAGTGACATTAGACAAAAAAAGAAAACAAAATAGTGAATGAATAGTATTTTGACACCTCTGTTCACAGACCCAAATGGCATTGGGGAGCTCCCCAACGCTATGTGGTAATTGACAGCTGAGAATGTCAAGTGGGCGGAGCTCGCCCCGTGACGTCACGGCTCGCCCCACCCGTCTGTTTACATTCGGGCAGGAGATGACATTTTGCGGAAAGTTCTTGTCGGGCTCGGACGGGTCTTCGTGTGCAGGGACTTTTTTTAATTTTGGCGGGGGTTGTGCATCGTGATTGATGCTGGATTACATCGATGGAGCCATTTTTTTTTTTTTTTTTTATTAAAGGAATTTGTTTTTAAATGTGTGGTTTGTTTTTTTACTTTGAATTTTAACCCTTTAGTGAATGGGGAGGGGTACAAGTACCCCTTACTCATTCACAAGGGGGGGTGGCATCTGGGTACCCCGATGCAAATAAGCCTGTGGTGGGTTTACTCCAGTGGGCCCTTTTTTTTTTTTTTTTTTATTAAAGGAATTTGTTTTTAAATGTGTGGTTTGATTATTTACTTTGAATTTTAACCCTTTAGTGAATGGGGAGGGGTACAAGTACCCCTTACTCATTCACAAGGGGGGGTGGCATCTGGGTACCCCGATGCAAATAAGCCCCCCTGCCCGCAGACCCCCACAACCACTGGGTCAGGGTTGTGGGGAAGAGGCCCTTGTCCCCATCGGCATGGAGACACCCTCCTAATGGCTAGGGCACGTGGTCTGGTAAAGTGCAGGGAGGGGTGGGGGCGCTCGATCGTCCGCACCTCCCCTTTTCTTGTCCTGCCAGGCCTGTGCTCGGATCAAGGGTCTGGTAGGAATTGTTTTCCTACATTTTTGGTAGGGGAGGGGTTCCCCCTTAAAATTCCTACCAGACCTAAAGGGCCTGGTATGGATTTTGGGGAGAACCCCACACACTTTTTTTTTCGTTTTCACTTGGGGGAGGGGGGGGGGGTGTCCTCCTAATATTCATA